GGCTCCATTAGAGAAAGCAGGCATCTCGTGTTGCAATGGCCTCCGGGGTCCTGCGGGGGCCGCGGGCAGCACTCATGATTCACTAAACCTGTATAATTATGTACTAAATCCCTCTGTGTCTAGTATCATGTATATCGTAGGCTACATCCATCTGGTATATCAATGTACTATCATAACGTATGTAGTATAAGTTCACAAGAAAGAAACATGGAGGTGATGCGGAGTAACCTGGTAGGTTGTTTCCCGATCATACATTGACGGTAGATGGAGAGAATTGTCAAATTTCGGAGAGCCTTTCGTCAACGCTTAGCCCCTGACCCATGAATGTGTTTGTGTAGTCCAAGACTCGTAGTTGGCCTAGGGCCGCATTCGTTCTGTGGCATGACCAAGGTGAAGACAAGATTCGTCCGTAGTGATCACTTGGGAACAGTATATGCGAAGCGCATTGTACACCTGCCTTGGTGCATCTACTGCAGTAGAAACGGCCGAAGCATTCAAAATCAACAATGCTAGTCAATGTCAGGGGTCAAGGGTCGGGAAACACCCAGAACAGCTTTCGGGAAGAAGCGCAAGGGATGCATGATGAGCCGCGATGAGGGAGTGCGGGGGCTGCGTAAGCTGCGTCGCGGGTGAATAGAGGTTAAGGGCCAGATAGATGGACCATGACGACACTGGACAGCACTGGACGGGGATGAGCTTGTTCAAGCTTTGGAGAGTGAAAGCACGGCTCTGGGTCTTCTGAGAGCGATGTCTGGGATCGGGAATGATGAGCAGACGGTTTGATGAAGGCTTGCGCAAATATATGGGAAATCGTGTGCCCGTCTGCCAGAGTGTGATTGCAACGTGGACTGAGCAGGTTCTTCAAAAATTGCGAGAGGCTATGCTCACGACTTCATGGGTATGTCTTATTATGAGTATATGCGTTCGCCGTGCATTTAATTACATGTTGGTTTGCTTTTGATTCGTGATTCGCGGATAGACAGATGAGTAACATAGGATGAATATAGTCTAAGTACCTTATTATTAAAGAAAGTTAATTCTTTCTAAGTTATAAATATAAGAATATAGTTTTAATAAAATAGTATAGTACTTACCTAGTACTTAAATTAAGATACTTTTTTAAACTTATTATAAAAAAAAGATAATTATATTACTAACTACTTATTATCGAGGTCTATAAGTAATACTATAACTTTAATTATAATAGTTTTATTTATAATAAACGAAAAGTTTAATTATAAATCCCTTAAAAGCCTCTTATTAAGAGCTATAAGAGCCTCTAAGTTAAGTTAAAATACTTATTAAAATACTAATAACTAAACTAACTTTATAATAACAACTTTAATAAAAAACTTAGTAAATAACGTTAGAAGCCTCGCTAACGTTAAGTACGATTTATAAAATATAATAATATAGCTATAAAGTATTATTAATATATTTTATATTAAAAAAGGTATTATTAATACTAATAAAACGGATAGGGCTATATTAATATAGCGCCTCGGTTTCTTTTTATAACTCGAGGATAATTACTTTAAATAATATTAAAAATTTATTAAAAAGCTTTTTTAAATACTCTAGTATATTTATTACTATTTTTATAATAATAAGACTTCTAGTGCCTATATATAAAAGTAAATTACTTATTTTTAAATAATAATACTAACTTATTAATAAGCTATTAGAACTATAATTCTAACGATCCTTTAACAAGGGAGAGGGTAGAATAGAGGAAAGGATAAGTAACTTATAAAAAGGGTTAAGGTTAAATAGTACGGAATTCGAGGGCAGGGTAGCGTCTATATATACTATAATAATCCTCTAGTAATGCAAAACGATAGAGTTAAACAGTGGGATGAATGTGGTCACTGGTAGCACTATAGCACAAACAGACTGACACGCGTGTCTTCTAAACGTTGCAAACTGATCCCACGTGGGGTTTCGAGGGGATGGGGAAGACCCGCACTCGGTTTCTCGTCATCTCATACGTTATACACATAACTGTGAGATGACAAAGACACTTCACTGACGAATATTCAGAATTTCTGATGATGAACTAATCAATCAAGAGTCAGGACTGGGGATGAAAGGTGGAGTTCCGGCTCTTTGTCACACCTCAATCGGGGTGGCAGTGGGACTAGATGCCCGTTCCCCATTTCCCGTTTCTCATCTCATCTTTCATTGCCATCCGCCCATCATGATCATGATCCAACGGCGCCCTCTCCCAGGGTTACGGTTGTCAATAGCGACAGCCACAATCAAAGACCCGTCCGTAAGATGACGCGAGATGGTGGACGTGTGATGATTTACAATCGTGGATGAAGACTCAGATATATGAGTACATAGACTACTCCGTACCGATACGTGTCCTCAGCATCTGTGCAGTGTTCAGACTCAAAGGTATCCGCAATGAAGACAGATTCGTTAGGACAATGTATTGGAGAAAAGACATATATCCGTACCACTCACTGTACTGCGTGTATGTGAGGGCCGATGTGCTCAGGGGTTGAGTCGCACAGCAGGAGTGCATGCTGCGTAAATGCTGGATCGTCGGCCCCCCCCTGCCTGTCAGTCTAAGCGCTAGAAGAATCGCTAGCTCAGGAGCTTAGCACCAATACCGAGCGCCGGGCAGCACGTTGCCCCTTGGGCTAGCAGAGGTTGGCGCGGGCGCCGAAGCTGGGAGAGGTCTCGTGGCTTCAGATACAGGCGCCTTTGTTCTCGATTGAGATGAGACACGCTGTAGCTTTGACTTGGCGTGGATGGCGAGGAAGCCAAAGTACTTCTTTCTCTCTACTGCACAGTACAGTAGTAAAGTAAAGTAGTACAAATAGCGCGAATGTCCTTCCCGCAACCCCTTACCCCTGGACCCTGGCGACAGAGTGATGGCTCTTTGTCCAATTGTTTCATGTTTTCTCTGGAATGCACAGCAACGGTTTTTTCTGTGCTTCTTCAAGTGACGTGCGCCCGACATAGTCCTCGTGTAGAGTACGGATACTGATGCATGGTGGTAGAGAATTTGAAGGTGATTGCGATAGGTACGCATTTAGTAAGGTACTCGTGGTCAGCAAGTGAAAGTATTGCATACTTGAGGTAGTTAGTCATATCCGTACACCAAGGTGAACTCGAACATGTAGCTATTCATGAGGGTGAAATGCCTAGACCCCTATTTATTTTTCGCCAATGATGTTGTCGTGACACTCAGAACGGTTCCTGGATGGCGCCCCCTTTTCGACGTTTTCACTTCCACTAAGGCCAAGGCTAAGGTACGGTACCTGAGCCCGTCAATTTAGTCAGGTCGTGATAGTAGTACCGATACTCGTCGTTGCGACAACTAGGTACTTACCAAAGGGAAGTCAGAACTTCTGCTATTCGTACGAACCGAGTGTTATTTAACCTCTGAAACTGTCTACTACATAGTAGGGGAAAGCAAAGAAACCCACGTCAACTGCCGGAGAACCGAAAGACTAAAGTGGCTCAATCCGCTGCCTGCCACCATTCTCATGAGGTACTATAGTCTAGAGGTAAGTACCAAAGACCACGACTCTGGAGTCTGGACTTCAGCGAGACACAGTACCTAGTGAAAGCAAGCCCATTCAAGAAAAAGAAATGAAAAGATAATACTCCGTCGAACCAAACCACGCATACTGAGTACATTACCTGCCTTCACTCCGTCCAGACTCCAGACTCCAGACTCCAGAGTACCTACCATCTGTCCAAACCTTGGGATCTCCCATGCTTACTTGAAACTTGTCTGGGCGTCACCTTCTTCCAAGTTCCCCCACCCGCACAGCCCACGGTCCACAGTCCCGCAGCCCAAGCGCTCGGCAGCATCTACGCAAGACACAGTACCTGTACATCATCACCACAATATTCCAGGTTCATCATCAGCATCAGCATCAGCATCAGCATCTACATTCGGACCTGCATCAAGCCTCTGCAGCCCCCGTTCAAGCACATGTCTAACGCCCCCATCGGAATCTTCCAGTCTTCTCCCAACAACCATCAACTTCTCCAGCTTCCTCCGATTGACCTGGATCTCTCATCTTTCCCGTCCTCCCATATCCCGACCGTCTCATCCCATCCCATCCCGTCCCATCCAACTTCACGGATATCCACACCTCCAATTGCGCAGTCCACAATCCACATGCGCAGAACGGATACTCCGTAACACCGCCCATCCATCCATCCATCCACCTGCCTCAGACATCATAGGTAGCTGCTACCTTGCCCCATACCTACCTCAGATCGGCATCTCCACGTTGTCGCCCATCTCACTTTGCTGTCACTGCGCCTTCCCATCTGCCGTACTCTGCGTACCGCGCACTCCCGCCTTCCTATCCGAACAAACACCCGCTGTCCCCGTCACTTTGGTCCAGTTTGCCTTCCAATACCTACAGCACCAACTTCCAGTCTTCCTCTGTTGGCACTGAGGCCCCCACGAACCAGTTCTGTGCACGAAGCCGCCTCTTCCCTGTTTCGACGTCCAATCTCGACCTCCTCGTCCTTCAATCCCCCTTCAATGGCACTGTTCTAACCAGCCGCCCGTCTTCCTTCTTGAGCACTTCTTCTTTTACTTCTTCTTCCGTCATTCCTTACCTTTCTTCTTCCTCCAATTCATTCCGTTTCACTCGGTCGGCTTTCTTCTTCCTTGTAATCTCTCGTGTTCCAACTGTCCATAGAGCTTCGCACCGTTGGGCCCTTCGAATCCCCGACAACCACCTCGAATCGTGTCTCGCGATTTTCAACTGCAGCACCCGACCGACCAACAACCAAGCTCCTGCTCTCCGCGCCTCGAGCACCCCTTTACCCTCTTCTCGATCGCGGTCTTGCGCTGCCGCTCGCCTGTTGAACAGGCCTGGCTGAGCCGGCCGCCAGGCCTCCTTCATCCGATATCCGAACTACCCTTCCACTCGAGTCCATCGTCCGTCCCCCCCGGGACCGACTTGCGACGATACCCTACCTCACTACTCCGTCCCACGACCCCGCGACCACTCTACACCATGGTGAAGCTCATTCCACCATCGTTTCCGCCCCGGCGGCCTTCGAGCTTCCTCCGCTACGCCGCCGCTGTCATCTTTTTCGTGGCTCTCTTCTACTACTTCGACCCGCGATACCCAAGAGAACCTCTGACACAGCTTCAACCAGAGAAGCCGAAGCAACCCCCGCAAACACCAGACCCGGTGGCTCCGGCACAGTTCGAGGATGTCACAAAGCCGACGGCTCAGGCCGAGACGACACCGATACCTCCGAAAGCCGATCAAGCATCGTCGGGAGCTAAACCCCCCTCAGCGGGCAATACCAAGGTTGAAGGCGGTGTCGATCCGTCAAAAGGACATCCCATAGATGCCTTGATCAAAGAGGCCGACGAAACGTTTGATAAGTTGTTGGAGAAGGAGACCAAGACGCTGCCCGCCGCGGCCAAGGCCTACCGCGAGCGACGTGGTCGCCACCCTCCCCCGGGCTTTGACGCATGGTTTCAATTCGCCCAGGACCGCAAGGCTGTCATTGTGGAGGACTTTTTTGACCAGATCTACCACGACCTAAAACCGTTCTGGGGCCTCGAACCATCACGCATCCGAAAAGAGGCGGCTGAATGGGAGATGGTGATCAAGGTGCGCAAGGGACGAGCCACCCGTATCAGCGACTGGTTCTGGACCATCCACTGGACAAACATGCTCAAGACCATTGAACACCTGCTACCCGACATGGACATCGCCCTGAATCCGATGGACGAGCCGCGCATGGTGGTGCCGTTTGAGGATATGGAGCAGCATTTGAGGGACGCTGCCCTGACGGAAGGGATGCCCGAACCGAAAAAGGTTATGAACACATTCCAGGCCCTGCCTAGTAGCAAAAAGGAGCTCGACCGCAACGTCAAGGTCAAGAGCAAGCACTGGGATAAAGTCACGAGTATGTGCCCTACCACCTTTTCTTATACCCCACCCACCTACATACTCCTTTTCATGGGACGAACAACACCCGAATACTAACATCCGTCTGCAGAACAGTACTGGCTCATTGCCCGCCGTGGGTGCCCTCCCGACAGTCCTGCTCGACTGGCAAAGACGCAAAGGACCTTTAACCATGCCCCCGCCGTTTCGACAAAGTATGCCAAGCCGCATATGCGCGACGGTTTTGTTTCCAACTACACTCTCTCGACCCATATCTGTCACCAACCCGACCTGCAAGGCCTCAATGGCATCTTCATTGAGCCCCTAAGCACAGCTGCCACGCCTGTGCTGTTTCCAATGTTTGGCGGTTCCAAGCTGGCCGTCAACAATGAGATCCTGCTTCCTGCAGCCATGTACTGGACGGAGGAAGAACGGTTCAGTGGCGGCGGGTACCATGGGGGCCGCTGGAACAAGAAGAAGGACGCGGTGCTCTGGCGCGGCGTCGCAACGGGTGGGCGCAACCGCGTGGATAACTGGCAAGGGTTCCAGCGCCACCGGTTCGTGGCCATGAACAACGCGACCAAGGTCACGGGCGCCGAAGACGGCACGATGGACCCGATCAACTTTTCCCTGCCCGACAAGATGTACAACATTGCAGCGCAGGCGGTGGGCGGGCTGGGCGACTGGATCAAGTCGTGGGCCAATGTTGGGTTTACGGATCTCATGTGCGAGCCCGAGGGCAAGGCCGGAACGTGCAACTACACGAGCCCCTATTTCAACATCACCGAGGGGGTTATGCTCTCCGAGATGTACGACAACAAGTACCTCCCCGACGTTGACGGCAACAGCTTTTCAGGCCGGTACCTCGCGTTCCTGGGCAGCACGAGTCTCCCCATCAAGTCGACGCTTTGGCGGGAATGGCACGACAGCCGTCTCGTTGCATGGAAACACTTTGTGCCGATGGACACGCGGTATAATGAATATTACGGCATCATGGAATACTTTTTGGGATATGGTGACGAGAGGCCAGGCCATGACGCCGAAGCGGAGAAGATTGCCATGGCGGGCAAGGCGTGGGCCGAGAAGGCGCTGCGTAAGGAAGACATGCAGATTTACACTCTGCGGTTGCTTCTCGAGTACGCGCGCGTTACGGACGAGAGAAGAGAGAGGATGGGCTGGGTGCATGACTTGCTGGCGGAGCAGACATCCAGTTGAGAGAGCGCGAGGAGGCAGAAAGGATTGTTGTTTCGTCGCATGGATACCACACCGCGGAATACGGGAAATCAAAAAGGGCATGGCGTTATTTTATCTCTATTATAGTGTTCTGGTCCGTCTCTTTGGGGAGTTTTTGGTGTAACTCGCAAGGGCCCCTACTTGTCAGCCTTTTTATGGGTGTTTTGAGACTTTTGTCTACGGATCCTACCAGAACCGACTCCCTCGAACGGGAGAATGAGAAAGCATGAAATCGGCATCATTCTAGGTATTGATATATAACATAGGTCATGTATGCTGCATGGCAACTAGTACATACCACTGCCAGGTTTAGCGGCGCATCAAAGTGCCATGTGCATGTGAATGTGAGGGTGGTATTGCATGTTGTGAAAGTGTCGGACGTCGGTTCCGGATCTAAGTTCTACATGACGTGGAAAAGGAATGGCTCGGTCTTCGGAAGGTAATCCCGTAGACCGGAGACGACGTCTGCCGCCTGTTACCGTTCGTAGGCGAGCTGCACAAGGAGTTATGGAGTAATGATATCTTGAATCTTATCCTTCAGCCGTCGACAACCCAACCAACTGGTCAGTGTACAGCAGAATAAAGTCATTTGATCACTTTCACGAGACACATGGCGGGAGGATTGGAGACGCGGCTACGAGTCATAATCAAGTCCAACCCGCCAATGTATTCGTTTAGGGTGCAGACGATTACGCGATGATAAGGCAATTTCGAGACGAGAGAATGCGCCTCTTTTACGTAAAGCCAGGGAGCGTCCTTGCTTCGAGGGCCTTGGGCAGGTGAGGGGTATAATCGGGAGAGACAATGGAAGCAAGCGGACGAGAGAGTTCTTGTGCTACCTACTCAAGCGCGGGAGCTAGCGGGTGACAGTGACAGCGTGCTTGCGTAGAGAGTTGAACCCATTTTCAGTCTTCCGAAGGATGTAGCTATATCTGGGAATCGTGGACGGGGTAGGTTGAACAGGCAGGCAGGCGGGCGGGCTAGGCCCCGGATAATGGAAGATGGGAAGGACGTCATGCGGCCACCCCTGGAACTGATTGATAACAAGAAATGTGAAAAAGACAAGGTAGTCAAATGGGCGTCGAGAATCTGAGGTGAGAAGATGGGAGTCGAGGGATGCCGGCCTAGGCACGAGTCGCTGAGGCTTTCAGTGTGAGATGAGAATCGAGATGCTGCAGCAGCGGTGCGGGTCCGTGATGGGCAGGGCCCTGCTGCCCTGATGGGTGACTCGTGGGAGGAGGGGAGGGCCTCAAACCGCAGTAGCACAACTGTGACCTCGGGCCTAGCACACATTTGTACGTAATTGAATGTCTTCTGGGTGTATCAGACTCGGGAGGACACTTCACGGCCAGATAAGAGGAACGTCTGATAAGAGACAAGACCAATCGATAAGGCAAGAAAGTTGCGAACCTCGGAAAATCGACACCTGGCTCTCTTTTGGTTGTACTGAAGATAAGGTACCTTACCTCACTACACCTTTGTAAGGGAGGTAAGGCAGGTAAAGTCAGGTAGGAGAAAAGAGAACATAATGGAGGGAAAATGATTGCAGTCCGGATACCTTCGATTCCTATGCCTTGGAACGGGTGGTGGTGGTGGTGGTGGTGGTCCGCATCACCCCCTCTTTCTCAACAAAAAAAGAGCAGAGAAGAAATGAGAAAAAAAACTCTTTCTTCTCTTCTCTCTCCCGTATTCCGAAAAGGCCGAGCTTCCGTCCGTGGTTTTCTTGGTTGTGTGAGTGTCGGGTGTGAGATTGTCATGCGCCTTCGCGTCGCCCTGCCATTAGGGAACATCACCAAGTCCCGGAGGCGGTGATATTGGTGAAGTGGACAGCGGACGTGGGCGACGGGCCTCTTTAAATAATGCCTCGCGCGTTTTTCCGCCGGGTCACCTGCCGTTAAGTGGCACACCTCCGGGCGCGCCAGACCCCTAAGTGCAGGTGCTCCAGCGGTGGTCCAGCGGGCCCCAGCGATGTGCGGCGGGGGTCTGCCCCTTGCGGCCCTCTGGCTCCCTTCTCTTGCGGCGCTACGCCCGCCGACCGTGGGCCCCATAACTGTCCGGGGCTCCACTGATGTTCCCCTAAGTGCAGGTCTACCCGTGGTGGGGATGTTCGGGGGTGGACCGTCGACCTTCGTGGAGGGGCCCAAGGGGAGGTTCAGGGGTCCGCAGCCTGGAACACGCTGGTGTCATTGCCGTCCTGTCGCCGTCGCCGTCGCCGTCGCCGGGTCTTCACTCTTCAGTACCCAAGGTGCGAGGTGTCTTACATTCCTCACCTTTCCATTGTGTCCGGTAGCGTCACTTGCTTCGACACCACCCGTCTGTCCCACCTTCTACACAGCTACCTACGCAGTCGAAATCTTCCGTCTTTTCCACAATCCACCCCGTCCTCGTCCTTGTTCCCCCCTTGGCCAGGAATGCGCGCGAATGCTTCCTTTCCCATCAGCCCTAGGCGCGCTAGCCATCCCCATGACTGAGGCGGCCATGGTCATGGATGATGGCTGTACGGAGCCAGGTACTTCGTGGCCCGGAGCCCTTGGTGTCGCCGGTGACGGAAAGGCTTTAAACATACCTTGATCGCCCGTCTTCTGCTGATTCAAGACTCTCTACATATAATACTCCCCAGCTTCTACCCTCCTCTTGACCTCTCCTTCTTCTCTTCCTCGTCTTCTTCTTCTTCACTTCAATCTCTTACCTCGATTACCCGCACATATCTTGTCACTGAACCAAGGTCAGCGCCACCATCGTCAACTCTCACCTACCACCACATTCCCCTCCTCCTCCACCACCCGCAATCACAAAGTTCGCACCCTCGGCGCATCGCAACCATGGTCCAGAACACATCAATGGTCACCTCCAAATTCCTGAGCAACCCCGAGGACCTCGGCGTCGTTGCCGTTGGCTTCTCTGGCGGACAGGTAAGCATCGCCAATAGCCTACCCTCCCAAGGCAACGTAGAAATCTGACCCTCGCCCGCCTGCAGTGCAAGAAAGGCGTCGACGCCGCCCCTAAGGCCCTCATCGAGTCCGGCCTGCTCACCCAGCTCCGCGACGAGCTGGGCTACAAGCTCCACGGCGACGATGAGGTGCACCTCTACACCGACCTCGTACCCGCAGACGACCCTCCCTTCCGCAACATGAAGAACCCCAAGGCCGTGTCCTCCGTCACCGAGCGCATCGCCGACCAGGTGTACCAGCAGTCGCGCCTTGGTCGCCTGACCCTGACCCTCGGCGGTGACCACAGCATTGCCATTGGCACCATTGCCGGCTCTGCGAAGGCCACCCGCGAGAGACTCGGCCGCGAGATTGCCGTCATCTGGGCCGATGCGCACGCCGACATCAACACCCCCGAGACGAGCGACAGCGGCAACGTCCACGGCATGCCCGTGGCTTTCGTTACGGGCTTGGCCAAGGAGTCAAGACCCGAGTACTTTGGCTGGCTCAAGGATGAGCACATGCTAAGCATCAAGAAGCTGGTGTATATTGGTCTGCGCGACGTGGATGCAGGCGAGAAGAGGATTCTGCGCGAGAACGGCATCAAGGCGTTCAGCATGTTTGACATTGACAGGTAGGTCTCTCCTCTTCTCTTTCTTTCCGCATGGCATGGCCATGATAGACTTCTGACCGTTATGACTAACATCGTTTTCTTTCTAGATATGGCATCGGACGCGTCATGGAGATGGCGCTGGCGCACATTGGCAACGATACCCCCATTCACTTGTCATTTGACGTTGACGCTCTGGACCCCATGTGGGCGCCGTCAACGGGCACCCCTGTCCGTGGCGGTCTTACTTTGAGAGAAGGTGACTACATTTGCGAGTGTGTGCACGAGACTGGCAGTCTTGTCGCGCTGGACCTGGTCGAGGTGAACCCGTCACTCGCGGCTGAGCAGGAGGGCGCGGCGTCCGAGACGGTAAGAGCTGGCTGCTCGCTGGTGCGTTGCGCTCTGGGAGAGTCATTGCTCTAAGTTGGTAGCTTGAGCGTGCGTGGGACAGAAGGGGAAAGATGCGGTCACAAGGGATTCTCGACTTCTGGCAGAATCTTGGCCGCTGACGGAGAACGGCGAGGGCTGCCTATCTATGGTTGTGGGAACACAGGGAAGATTAAACGGTACACGGAGGCAAAGTGAATTTGGCGTATAGCGCAATAGAAGACAGAACAAGTGAGGTGGCCAGGGAAACTTGGACGGAGTCAGACACGGGGTTGAGGTAGATATATACCAACGAATAGATTTATGAGCCGACCTTGTTGTCATGATTGATGCTAGGTAAGGTACCTTGGTATAAGGCCCCTTTGGTTACTCAGTAAACCAGCGATTATTCAAACGTATCCGAACTTTGCAGCGCACTCACGTGGCTCAATTCCAAGGTCTCTACGACAACATGTTCGATTGGGCATAAAGACATGTGAAATGGAAGGCTGAAGTCGTGAGGCGGTTCGGGTGCATATTGGAGTCTTTGAGCCTCGGAAACCGGGGGCGTGAGTGGCTGGCAGGGACAGTAGGTCCAACGCGGCCTCAGAGGACCCCACTTTCCTGCTTGCTCACCGATGAGATGTGTCGGTACGGAGTACCTTACGTGCTTACCTAAGGCAAAGGAAGGGACGGAGTCGGGATGCCTTCCATTCGACCAGCCATCGCCATTTCCAAAGGGAAGGAGAGATCAATTAATGTACGGTGTACCTTGACTAAGGCAAGGTACCTATTCCCTATTCGTAGATGAGAGAAGGAAGCTGGCTCGCCCCCAGTCACAATTTTGAAATCTACAACATACATACATTTCATAGACGATTTCTCGAATCGCAGTACATAATCTTCCCCGTCTAACCATAAGGTAACTACGGCGTAAATACGACATACTTTGGTTTGACGTGGCACCCTCCAAAACAGCCGCCGCGCCAACACCAGGGCAACCCACACCATCCATTCGATCCGTACGCCTACCTTACCTTGCCTTGGGTACTGTGCAGGAGTCAGGCCGACTTCTACCTGATTGCGAGGCCCTCGAAAACCGTTCCTGCTACCAACCCTGCCCCTTCTAATAAGACGAACTCTTTCGCACCCGACGAGACGAACCGAGCCCACCTTTCCGCTCGACGCAGGATACCTAATCGACGCGATTGCCGCACGCGCATTGGCGATAGCATCCTACCCAGCCTCGCCGAACGAACAGAACCCGTAAATTCGGTACCCAACGTTGCCCATTGCGCTACCCGCCCCCGCCCCTCATCCCAGCGAAACCCCAAATCCATCGGAAGACCGAGAGCATCGAGCACGATCGATCAAATACCTATATTAGAGACAACCTCTCCGTGCCCCGTTCCGAGTCTCAGCGACAGTCGGAATACCTAGGCGACGCGATCCCACTTGACCAATACCAACTCATCGTCAACGAACCGAGCTGTAAATAGCAAATATAGGCACAATGGTGGCGTCAACACTGACGGGCAGCTCCCTCTACGAGAGGCGCGTTGTCGAGCGCGTCCACCGCTACCAATGGCCCGGCATTCAGCTCAACCTCTGGATCCTCGTCATGCTTGTAGCCGCCTGCCTCATCATCGGCGTTTTTGCGTCCTTCATCGAGACGCAGCAGCAACTGCTTCTGCCCATACCCTGGTGCGTGATTCACACTGCTATCTCTGCCTCGCCCTCGCATTCCGTCATGTTGCCATATGCGCCTGGCCAAATGGCATGCCACGCTTCAACGACTACGCGGAAAGACGAGGGTTCCCGGCCAAGAGATGAACTCCGCGAGACGATGCCAATGCTAACATGATGAACCATCTTCCTTCTGCGACAGGTACTTTCCCTACTACATCACCGTCGCATGCCTCGTAATCCTCTTCATCGGCCTCCTCCTCTGGCTAGTCTTCCAGCGTCGTCTCCTCCCAGCCATTGTTATGATCGGCGCCTTCATCCTCTTCATACTATGGTTCGTCGGTCTTGTTGTCGTGAGCATTCAGCTCTGGGGACCCGACGGGTCCGTCTCTAGCACGTGTAACCTCGCCGTGTTTAACCGGAGCCCGACGGGGCAGAGTCTAGACACCCTCGCTTGGCTGGAACAGAGGAGTATATGTGCGTTCTCTCCTTTCCCCTACTCGCTCTTTTCTTGGTGTGATGCCTATTTGTTTCTTCGTAGATTTCGAGAAGAGACTTTGTGAACGGGAGGAATGCTAATATTCGGGACCGTGATGTAGGCCAAGCGTGGCAGGCGGTGTTTTCATTTGCGCTGGTTGGTGCCATCTTCCTGCTTTGGATCATGGTCATGGCCTACCAAGTGTTTGCCAGCTCGTGATGAATATGGGCTGAGACACGACTGTCCCGGGAATTATCATTCTCGTTTGGACGTGTGGCTGCGTAGTGTCGACGATGAAGCCTCGGGTTGCGCCTAGGCCGCAACGTTTATATTTTGACTGTATACCATTGCATGAGGAATATCCGACATACTCAACCATTTTCTGGTATAATCTTTTCGGCATAGTCCGACACAGCTCGACACATATACGGAAACATAAACGGTATCCAGCTTCGACAGTCTTATCGGCCGGCATGTACATACCGCCAGTTTTGCTACAAGAGACGAATTTACGAGTATGATCTGATGGATTTAATGGTTAGAGTCGCCGTCGGAGGAAGGTTGTCGTTCTCTTCCTTGGTTTCGGGCAATTGCACATATAGGCGTCTGGTGATTATGGACGGAGGTTTCGTACGAGCTATTATTTTGTGACTGGACTGCATGATTGCGTAGCAAAGGCGCACGAAGATGAGTGAAACGAATGCTGTCCAGAAATGACGAATTGGCAGTTATGGATGGTCAAATGAGGTAGCGCAAGCAAGCACAGCAAGGCAAGGTTGGATGGAATGACAACAGTATATTCTGCATTGCGTTGTAACCGGACTATGCATGCATTCAAGTCGTTGTGTGCTCTTAGACTGGATTCGACTCAGTTCACCCATGGAGCGATCTTGTATGGAGTACATGCTTCCCGTCTGCATTCGTCAACGGAAGCCAAGTATTCAGGTACATACTTGCTTGCATGTACCTAGTCCGGTCCCCGTAGTCCGAGACCAGCTTTGTTTAAGATCAACTGCATTTCGTCACTGAGATCGTCGTCACATGATGAATCTGTTGCGAGTGAACGTGGGGAGGTACCTACCTCCCACAGTAGAGGGTTCGCATAGGTACACGCGTAGCTTTGACGGGAGCGGCTCTTGTTGGCGAATCGAGGCCTAGGCCCCCATGTTGATCTGACATGACGTAGCCAGCCGGCGGGGATACTGGTACACTACAGAGGTTCGGATTGAATTTCGAGACCTTTCACGCGCATTCATCTCGAGTGCCCCGAGCAAGTGCGTGCGTTGGTTTGCCGTTCAGCCGGGCAGGCACCTTGGAAATGTCAGACAGACAAGGGTACCTTAGCTCGAGAGATAGACTCGATTTTCAGCCTGCCAAGCATCTTGGACTAGCATTCTCTCGGGAGGAAACAAGCCATGATGGCAGGAACAGCCAACGGGTGAGGACCCTGAACCTGCTTGGCATTCTGACTGGGTTGACATGACGGGGGAAAGACAACTACAGATTGTGATAAGGTGCCTAGATGAGCAGACTCTCAACATCCGGTTTCTCTTGAACGACGGGTCGAGAGTGCATAAGGTCGCGGTACCTTACAGTCTTACCTTTGGAACTGCCGGCGAATGACGTAGGCAGGCAGTTAGCTATCTGACTTTGCTCAGATAGGTCAGAAATGGGAGTTGGAACTGGGAATCTGCGCTGTGTGGCTGCCAACTTGGGGGCGAGGGCATGGATTAGGTCATTGGACCCACGGGGACGCGGGTGAGAACTGGAAATGTCTGACGCTAATGGGGGAAAGCGGGGGAGGGGTCCTTCCTCTACCAAGTCCCTACCTCATGCCGCTCTGGTTGCCTCCCAAGCTCGAAGGTGAAGAACAGGATGGGAAAGGTAGGTTCCGTTGGCTGGGCTGATGGAAGGAGACTGGATGTATAAAGTGCCCAAGCATTCCTCTCACTCCTTCTCATTTTGATTCACTTTTACATACACCCACAAGTTACTCATACAAAACCGCTCTCCAACAAGTACCACTATTCAACCACTTTCCACCACCACATAAGCTACAAACCACAACTATCAACATGGACAAGCTCAAGAACCTCGCCTCCGGAAGCTCCGGCAACACTGCCGCTGCCCCAGGCCAGCAGAAGCAGGATCCTGTCGATAAGAGTAAGTTTAGACACTCGCCACTCCCACAATGGTTCGAATTCCTCTGACATACTTATAGTCTTCGACGCTGGCTCCAAGAAGGCTGGACACGACTTCTCTCCCAGCACGGACGAGAAGATTACCGATGCTGGTCGTGGAATCTACGAGAAGGTGACCGGGAAGAAGGTCAACCCTAAGATTTCCAACTAAATGTACAACATATGTTTTGGTCACGACTCTTTCACGACAATGGGACGATTGCGGCTATGATATCATGCCTCCCATATAGCTTTTAATGAACTACATTACCATTATGCCTTTGCTCTATTATGCGAGCTGATGGAACGCACCATAGCCGCAAATTTCATGAATCCGCAAACGTACCCCCACTAGTATACGTACTATTTGCATTCATTGCATGGACATAGTGTTTGCTACCCTCACTGTAACAGCCCAACTGCAGTGGAAGCAGCGGACAGGATGATAAATGGCTATAGCTATTAGCTATGCCGGTACATTGAAACCAACGTAGGACATCAATTCTGATGGAGACCAATTTCAATGTCACAATAGCTACCTGAATCCCATGAAACCGCCCAAATATAGTTTGATCTTGGTGCAGGGGAGCGATCACAGCAGCGACCTGACCAAATGAGAATCATGCCGTGCCTGGAAACAGCTATTGTTGACGTTTGAAGCTTTGGAGATGGTCTGGACCTTCTCGTCACCTTAGGTAAGCACTCGCTACCTAGCTGCCTTACGTGAGGTTGCCAGCGGGGCAGGTATGGTGGGATGTGAAGACCATAGGTACGCCGTAAGGTAGGTACCTAAGGTAGGGGGTCCAGACGGGAGCATTGGAGGCACCCGCCCCCCATGTGAGGTGGACCAGGATGTACCTAATCTGTTGGTGGGTGCCCTGCTGATAAGGTCTCTCTAAGCACCTAAGGTAAGGTAAGGTACGTGCCTACCAACCAGTCCGCCTATGTTTTTGTTTGTATTCATTTTCGCGGATCAACAGTCCGTTCTTCACACGTTTCTTAGCATCCCCTTTAGAGGTGCATATCTAGCTTCGATTGAGAAGCAACTCTAGGATTTTGTATCATCCCGGCGTGCATCTAGGTACAGCCCATCACGTCTTGCAGCATCAGCCAACACGTTCATCACTGCAAAACTTCGTGCTTACGAGGAAGCACGTAGGGTAGAAATTTTTACTGGTGCTTCCATTCCTTGTTGGTGGTTGCGGTACCTTGGGAAAAAGGGTGGAAGGAACACCACCAAATACCTAGGTACGTGCTTTCCTTCATGATAAGGTAAGGTACATCGGCGTCCTGCATGCGCGTGCGCGCCAGCATCCAATCCTCGACGCTCATCTCCTGCCAACGCACATGTTTTGTGCGACACGTTGACTTCGCCATTGTTGCTATCGCTCCATCCCGATGCCACCACAGACTCGCGACTGACAAGGAGGGAGAAACTCTGACACTTCTTAGCTCAATCGGTTTATGTTACCTCCAGGTACCTAGTTGCTTTTCTCATCCCTCACCGATCATTCATCACCAGCGCATCTTCTCCTTCGAAACGCCCTTTCAGCGCCCACCATTCCCCGGCTCGAGCCCCCCTCCCGAAACCGCCAATCATTCCCTCGAGGACCAACGACGGGCGAGACAAAGAAAAATCCACGTCCCCAGCCAGCCGAATGCATCCCCCCAATCGCCTAGCCAATTCCCACCATGGAACGTGATGAGACCCATCACGACGACTCCCGTCCTACTACTGCCCGTCGGGTTGACGACGACGGTGATGATGACACATCGCGGCTCAATCATTCAGGAAGCGCTACTGTTGACGAGTCGCAAAACACGCCGACCAAACCCCCTCCTGACGAACAACCTCACAACAACGAACTAGGTCGCCGTACCCCGTCCAGCT